CCACATACCACTTCGATACGCTATCCCACTTCTCCGTGAGATTCCGGCGTCCAGGTTTATGGGTGTCCTTGATAAACGAAACATGAAACGGTAGGCAATCAATGCCAATCATGTAATAATACTCAAATTCGACATCCTTTGACCTGAGCCCCCTAAGGTGGGGCGATCTTGACGAATTGACCTCCAGGAGACAAGGAGCAGCACAGTTTGCCAATCATAATCTAGATTCATCGATATGTGCTTAAGTGGCAACCGTAGTGACCGGGAATGATAAAAATGCCTCTCAAAGCGCTCTCAAAGAAATGGCAGACATGGAATACATGGAGCCACGGGAACGCAACCTTTCACCCACGCTGGGGCCTCTGGTACAAGATGCCCCCTTTATCATGTCGAAAGGGATATGCTAGGGACGGAGCCACCCAATTAGTCCAGATACCAGAAACAAGCGTGCTTTTAGGCTGGCCCGGGAGCGAGGGAATCCCTCCGGTGTCAAACTGAACGGCGGACCCTTAGGGAAGGACTCTTCAGATGGTGTCTTTTTTCCCCTCCTCCCTTAAAAATAATTCTAACGAGGATTTTCATGCTTCAGCAAGAAACACACCTTTACACGGCCATGAGTCGTGCGGTTTGCGTGTAGGGATCCACAAGGACCTCGTTGTGATGAAGTCGTTGTTGGAGGTGGAGGAAAGTCGACTGGTCAATTTGGCCATGGGTGAGGATGTCCCTGCTACCGAGCTGTGGTTAACTCGCCCCACACTATTACGTCCCTAGCGTTGAGCACTGGGCCCCAGACCCGGCTATTGAGGGGGCGGAGGAGCCACCGAACCAAATTGGTGGTGCACGAGGTCGTCTTTGCTTTGCCCGTGCTGAATGGCAAAAATGGCAAAATGGGGATTTTGGCCGTGCAGCAGCTCACTCAGTAAGCCAGCCCATGCGGTAGTTAGTGAGTAACCTGAGAGTGCCAATTGCTTCGATAACTCCATCAGGATCGTCATTAACCTTAAAGAGTGCAATTCCAGTGCAGCTGAGCTTTACCTTTGGGTTGTTTATACTGGCAGAGTCAAGCGATTCCGACAATCGAAAGTCTTTTGGGAGCTGTAACTTGGCCTCTGCGGACTCCAACCCGAATGCAACAGTACAAGCACAATCGTTGAATGCCCGCCTCTGGCCCAGCTGGCAGCTGGTACAATGGCTCTTGTTTCAGGGTCATGACCTGATTAACCCGGCCCGCCTATGGAGGCGCTAATATATCAAACTTAAACGGGAACCGTTTTTCAGAGCGCGCTCTCATTGCTACGCCAAGGGCAGCTAACTCCAAGAGAAGATGGACCACATGAAATAGTCCACGATCGAACATCACGCGACAACAGCTTTGGCATA